AAAACCCCGGAAGGGGGTTTTTTTTGGTTTTTAGCTTGGGGGGGGGGGGGGAATGTGCAGATCTGTCCTCACAGAGGAGGGAGAGCTTGTACCTGAAAAAAACTTGGTCTTAAAGGTGCCACTGGACTGTTTTGGACCGGGGGGGGGGGCGGGGGGAGCTCTTCAACTTACCTGGCTGCTTCTTGCTCTGACCGAGGGCTGCTGGGAGCAGGGGGTATGGCTTGTTGCATGTGCCTGCCCCCTTGGCTCTTTACTGTGCACTCCTGCAGGAAATGACCCCTGCTTCTATCTCTTCTTTCTCTATCCCATGCATAATTTTGTAAACCTCAATCATGTCACCCCTCAGTCATCGTTTCTCCAAGCTAAAAAGCCCTAACCTCTTGAACCTTTCTTCATAGGGAAGGTGTTCCATCCCATTAATCTCTTTAGTTGCCCTTTTCTTCACTGTTTCCAGTGCTATAACATCTTTTTAAAGGTACAGTCAGTGACCAGAACTGTACACAGTATTCTTTAAGCATTCATCAGCAGTGGCCAAGAGTCTCATTGTTTTTGCATGTGAGAATATTTCTGCATAAATGAATGTTGGTCACTTTTGTCACCAAAATCAACATCTGCACCCAAGGACTGGAAAGTAGCAAATGTAATGCGGTTGACTATGGGAAACAAGATGCCGATCAAGAAAAATCATTGGTCTGATCCAGCAGGGCTCTTCTTCTGTTCTTATATCCCTGTCTATCCAGTGTGGGACTTCCTACTGCCCTACAGCCAGTATGCATTGCTTGTGTATGTGCTTTTGTGAATGCCCCTTTGCATGGTACATCTTTAAGTGTCCATCAGCAGTGGCCAAGAGTCTCATTGTTTTTGCATGTGAGAATATTTCTGCATGTCTGAGCAAGGAGAGGGAAAATAGATCTTTCTACAGGAAGATTATTTCCCTCTAACCTGAACCTATGATCAACACAGCGTGGGCAGTGCCCAAACTCTGGAAGGAAAACGGAGACATTAGCACAGTTTGCTGGCTGTGGAAGTACAGGCCCGAGTTGCAAGGCCCTGACCATATTGCTCCAAGGTTTAAGGTACCCATGATGATACAGATGGAGGGGGCAGAATTTTGAAGTACTACAATGGACTGTACCACATCAGGTGTAGGTGAAGAGAGCAACATTTTAATGCTTTCGTATGCAAAAGCTTCCTGCAGATTAAAAATGAACACATCAGGGAGGCAGAGGGTGGCCTAGCCCTTCATATGATGTATTAGTGTGCCATTCACAAGACAATATAATTGCAGGGGAACTATGGAAACAGTAATCTCCCTCCTCCCCAGGCTGAAGTGAAATCATCCACTCAACCTTATTACCACCTCATCCCCCATGTCATGCAAGCCTATGACATCTCAATGTGGAAACAGATTTTTCTTCTTCCAAATTATTGCGTATCGATTGGGATGATAATATGTGTGTGTGTGGGGGGACATATTGCAAGCTTGTGCCCGACCTACAGAAATGATGCTTGGTGGTCTAGTGTGTTGTTATTCTTCATGGGTCGCCGGGCAGGCTCCGGTGCCGTCGTGACTGAGCACTCTTGTACGTGCAGGAAGCCCCGCATTCTGGGTGTTCCAGCGTGAGACAATTTTATTCAGTGGGCAATTGCGTGGATGCCAATGCTGAGGTAGAGGAGGTGCCATGTGGGCGGCTAGTTGGGCACGCCGGCAGGAAAGCACTAGAGGGTGAGTGGGTTGGGGATGGTTAGCCCTCCCTCCTTTCCTTCCTTCTCCAGGGGAATGCGGGGGCCGCCGGCTCCGTGCGGAGGCCTCCCCCTCCTCCTGCCGGGCACTGGGCGGCGTGTGCGGGTGCCTTTAAATGGCTTTAGCGGGAACTGCTGCCTGCTCAGTCTCGTCTGTGATGTAAGAAGAGACTTTAGGTGTCTGCGCCGATCGCCTGACTTCCCCCACCACTTCTGCTGGGCTCCTTCTTTCCCTCGCCGTCCTTGGCTGCCCCGGTGCCGGGTGGATGTGCTGAGCAGCCTCCGCAGCTGGTCCCGATTGCCTTTCCCTGCCGAGCATCAGCTGCTGCAGGCGCCCTTCGCTTGCTGGCCAGGGCAGAGCGCGCGGCTCCTATCTCCGCTCAGCCCCGGGGCGCGCAGGCATGGAGAAGGAGGCGGCGGCGGCGGCGGAGTGCAGGGTGCTCTCTATCCAGAGCCATGTCGTGCGCGGCTACGTGGGCAACAGGGCGGCTGCCTTCCCCCTGCAGGTAGGTTGCGAGCAAGAGCGCTTAAGGAACATAAGAAGGCGCAGGGCGGCATCCTTGTCAACCTTCCTCCTCCTCCTCTCCACTCTGCAGCGCTTTGCAACGCGCAGCCCGGAGAGCGCGCGGGGAGGATCTAGTCCAGCCGTACGCGGCGTGTGTGCCTCGCCGTGACACTTCTCAGGCGGCCTGGTGTCCCGCTTGACGGAAAGGCTGCTCTGTCCCTGCCTGGAGGGAGCTGTCGGGTTGAGGCGTGCTGGGATTCTACTCCCTCCCCCCGTCTCTTAGGCGAAGCTTGGCCAAGGCGAGCTCGTATTTCGGAAGCACTTGCGTCGGGCTGAGGGCGAGGGAGTTCAAGGCGAAGAAAGCTCTCGTCTTTTTATTTCATGGCATTTTCTGTGCCTTCAGGCAGGTTCCGCTCCATAGCGGTGCTTGATGCAAAATGTATTCTGGGCCAAACACAACAGCCCTTCTAAACTCTGGAGGACGTTGGAAGGTGTCTGTGTCACGCTGCCTGTCACGACGCCGTTTCTCAGCCGGCTTTTTAAAAAGCAACTGGGTAGCCTAAAAGCTTTCCAAGGTTAACAGTATAGTCTTGTGGAACTCATTGGGCAATCCTTCAGAGAGCTATAGCACTACAAACAGGATAAAGTATGTTAAAATTGAAAATCTGGTTATCTTCCTTCAACCAGTACTGATTCAGCAAAGCTGACAGGTGTGTTTATATACCCTCCAGAAGAATGTATGTATTTAAAAAAATATACTATTAGAGAAATGTAAGAAATCAGTTTTATGGCATGGAGGTGGCAGTAAATGAATTTAAGGGACTTCTTGGTCCCAGCTAAGGATCAGATTTTATTTTTTATTTTTGCCCCAAGATACTGTCCAGCATATTTCAGCATGTACCTCTAAAGCATTGTTTCACATATTGCCTGATTATGTTTACTAAAATAGATATAGACAGAAAAGAATACCCACTTACAAGTAATGCTATGTTGCACCTAGCATATTTTGTTATTTAATTGCAAAATATGGAGCTGATAATAAGTAGGCAAATCTAATAAACTATCCCACAGCCAGTAATTCCCAGAACTAAAACTACATCCACATTTGCCATGTGCTTTTCAACAACTATCTTGTTTTTTGTGTACACATGTTAAAAAAGGTAGTTTTAAGGGCATGCATATAATGTTTCTTATCATATGAAACCAAGCAGTTTTGAATATCTTTATGGTTTTTATTGATTGATGGCCAAGCAGTAAGGTTGATTTCCATTCACATTCAAAACTTTGCTCTTCAGTAATTATATGATTTTGGTCTAATGGTTCAGCTGGTGGTGCCATCATCAGTAGTGGACACAGACCAAGGTGGGATATTTGGGTATCTACCAAGACTATTGCAAATAGCAGCAAAATATCAGTAATAGATTAGCCTTCTAAATCTATTGAAAGGTATAACTCTGTTTAGGATTGCACTGTTTGAGAGATGCCAAATCAGTATACATTTCTTCATCAGTATGCATTTCTGCATTTCTGGCCTTAACCTTTGTGTATATCTCAGCCCTTAGATGAGCTAGGCTTTTGGCTATGTTAGGTTATGCTTTCAGTTGGTCTCTAAGGTATTATAGAACTTTTTCTCTTTTTGCTATTGCTAGGGCTACTCTTCTGAAATTCATTCTAAGCTAGCATCCTGATGAAATGTCACCAGGAGAAAGTTGCAAGTGTGAAGATTAAGCATTCCACAGTCATTCTGGGAAGGGATTATTTCATATTTCTAGGCATCCTGGCAATGCTGTGAAGAATATATAATTCAGTTTGCTGGTAAACATTTTCCATTTCTTGCTATCCATTCTTTTCTTTTGGCCTGGATTAGCCAATGGAATATAAAAGGTCTGAAAATGCATTTGTATTAACAGAGTTTTAAAATGGTTCGGACATGAGATAAGCAGAAAAACACTATTCTTATCAGTGAGTGACAGCACTACCAAATAGTTGGCTGTGCCACTCTTACAACCTCAGCACCCACATTGGTGATGGAACTGCAGGGGGAGGAGAGTGGGAATCACATTTTCCTAGGAACAACAAATTGTAGCTTGTGACAATTGATAAATGGTTTATGTATATCCTTCTCCGACTTTGCTTGCCAACATCACTTGGCATTGACAGTTTGACTGCTGCATAGGTCATTGCTACTGGTCCAAATACACCCAAAGCTCTTTTGTTTGCTTTTTCTGTACCAATCAGTAAGGTCCTTGAGTATAAGAAAGACCAACACAGATGTCCCCATGTGGTCTACAGCAAATGTGGTCTAAAGCAAATTTTACTCATGTTGAAATCTTGAATACACAAGGCTGTAAGTTCTCTTCAATTCAGTGGGGCTTTATTATGAGTAAACGTGCATTGCATTAGGCTATTGGACTGCCAGGTGTATCTCAAAGAAATATTTAGTTTAAAACATGGGACTGCCAGTGTTATGTTCATGGTGCCTGATCTTTGGGCTGATTTTGACATTCAGAAGAATGATGATGGTCAGAGACCATGCTGTGCTGCATTACAATACTGGTGGAAGATTTTATGATGGAATGGCAGAGTGTTGGACTAGATGGGCCATTGGCCTGATCCAACATTGGCTTCTCTTATGTTCTTATGTAATGCCTTCTCTACATCAGATGTTGTTTGACTGTGAAAAGATAGTTTCTGATAGTTGTCTGAAAAGAGAAGTTCTTCCACCTAGATATTTCCCCTGATGCACAGCTAAATGAATATCAATGTATTGTTAATTTTGTTGTACTTGTGTTTCTGATTTATAGAATCATAGAATCATAATTTACTTTTAAACAGGAGACCACTCAAAAATTGTCACAGTTACTAGACAGTCAGAGAGGATAAGCAAACATGAGTAGTTCTTTAGAGAATACATACAAAGAAATATCACAAACTGTCCTATCAGTTAAAGAAGGGATGAGGACCTGTGACTAGATTTCATTCACTCAAGTGTTCTAAAGAAAAACAGGGATAAAATTCTAGAGCTTCTAGTTATGATATACTTCCTATTGCTGAAGTCTCAACTAGTTTCAGAAAACTAGAAAACTACTACGATGAGAATTGGGGGGGGGCAGGATGTATGCAAATGCATGTGTGTGTTTCTGTGTGTTAGCTCTCTGAAGGGGAGGCATATTTTCATATTTGTTCCCAATATAGGTTCACAGCGGGTGGGGGTGTGCGTTTTGTTTTTGCATCCAACTCTGTAGTCAACATGTGTATACAGTCAAGAAAGTGTTTTTGCTTCAGAATGAGGCACTCAGCACTTTAATGTTCTTGGAACTGTGATGGCTTCCCATGTACGATCAGGCCATTTCATTAACAAAGGAAATAATTAATTTGCTTCTAACTCATTTGTAAAGCCCTTTCTGGTGTCAGTTTGTAGCACAGAATAAGAACAACCAGAGGAAATAACAATTATAAGCATTTATATAGCTAAATTTCAAGTTTACAGAGATGACACACAAGTTGTCTAGTTAATCCTTATAACAAGATTATGCTAAAGCAAGTCAATATTGTTATTCCCATACTTCAGATACAAGGATGTAATAGTTTTAGGTTGCCTAAGACCACTTACTGTATTGTTGGCTGACAGGGAACTCCTCGCATCAGTTCCTTTTTCTAGAATCTTCATCGATCCTTTTCTACAATGTAGTAGTTTACCCCTATTCACAAAAGTGTTAATGATTCAGTTGTCTCTACTGACAGAACAAGTTCTACAGTATTTTGCTGAAGCCTTGATTTTCAGTAATGCCCTCTCAGGCATCTTTCCAGATTCTTCCATTTGCCATCTGGAACAATCAGAGGCAAAACCAGTGATACCTAAATATTCTGCGCACTTCATTTAGACTTTCCTTTGTTTACTTTCTCTGAATGATTTCCGTGGATTTTGAGGTTCATTGTTATTACTGATAGGAAGACACATGGCTTGAAAATTCACTTTAGATATTGCTGCTCCATAGTTGGAGGGAAGAAGAAGGGTTCCCCCCCACACACCAGGGGATAATCATCATGCAAGTCAGTGCTGAAGCAGACGTCAGAGCATTCCAGTATATGCTGTGATGCAATGTAGAAGCTGTGAAGCTAATCTGTGCTCTGTAGTGGCAGCTGTTTTTGATAGCTGAGGTAAGTGGTCTTTCTACACAGTGGAGGCTCTGCAGGCTAAATTGCCCTGAATCAGAAATGAGAGATGTTTCAGCATTCTGACTCATGCTGACGTTTCACCTCTATTTATAGAAGGACATGAAAGCTGTTTTTAAAATCAAAATGAACTGTAGTAAAGAAGTTTGTCAAAAATGTAAAGACATGAGCAGCCAACTGGGGTGGGGGAGTATAAAATAAAATCAGTGCCTATGATTGGACAAATATATTGCATAGATCAGAAATCAAAGTCCTTTGTACCAAACAGGAATCTTAATACACAGTTGAGAAATTACGACAATATCAGTTTATTGTAAAGCAGCATGCAGTTTACCAAGATAATGGCTTATGTTTTATGGGTATGAGTACTACATGTCATAAATCTGGCAGCACAGGGAGGAACACTCTCTTTTTATTAGAGCACACTCAGTTGTGATTATTACATGGAACCAAACTGAGTGATGTTCATCAGAGTTCACGTCAACACCTAAGGTGAAAAGAGCAGTAACTGCCATCCCATATTGAAAGTCTTATGGCTAAAGATACCTGGGCCCTGGTCACACGGGCCAGATATCGCGCGGGGGGGGGGGGGGGCGTGGCTAATTGCCCCGGTGCAATTTGATCCACGATTACATGATCGGATGTGCCGGCGGCACACCACAGGTTCTTCCCTCGGCGCCGGTGGGTAAATGAGGGACCGGAGGGGAATGCCGTGCGCCGGCGCGATCACACCACGGGAGTCTGGAGGCAGCCCGTGGCAAACGTTTACTAGTACATTGGAGGTACTACTTTTTAAACGTGTATTTTCAGTGGTAAGCCACGGGT